GCGCCAGCCCCGCCCCCCAGCGCCGCGCCACGCCAACCCCGCCCCTCCTCCGAGTGCCAGCCCCCGCCCAATAAATAAATTAATAAAAACCTGAGCACCGCCCCGGCCCAAGGTGCCGCCCCAAGCACGTGCTTGGTCGGCTGGTGCCTGGAGCCGGCCCTGGCTATGAGCAGAGGCGGATTAAGCTTTTGCGGGGCCCTGGACCAGAGCAATTGGAGGCCCCTCCCTCCCTTCTGCCTGCAGTCGTTCTTTCCCCCTACCCCCAGCACTCCTGCCAGGGAGCGGGGTCAGGTCGCAGGGGCTTCCCCTGCTCCCTGGCAGGTGCGCTGGGCTGGCAGAGCGGGTTGAGGCGAGGGGGCACTCCAATTGGCCGGGGCCCCTGGGCATGGACCCCATTGACCCAGTGCTAATCTGCCACTGGCTATGGGAGATGCAAGAGCCAAGTTGTGAATCTTCACTGCAATTAGACACCTGCAGCTGGCCCATGCCAACTGACTCAGGCTTACAGAGATTGGGCTAAGGGGCTGTTTAATTGCAGTACAGACATTTGGGCTTGAGCTGGAGCCTGGGCTCTAGGATCTTGCGAAGTGGGAGGGTCACAGAGCTCGGGCTGTAGCCCGAATGTCTATACAGCAATTAATCAGCCACTTATCCTGAAACTTGTAAGCCCGAGTCAGCTGGCATGGACCAGCTGCAGGTTTTTAAATGCAGTGTAGACATACCCTAAGATTGATTTTATCGTGCCAAAGGCTACTATTAGACAGATGCATTTCTATTGCTTTTCAAGGAATTTTCCTCCCATGTTAGAATATTTTTGTTAATCAGTGGAAGGATTTGAAAAGTTCTAGGCCCTGGAACTTTTTACAATTTTGCATATTCTTCAGGATCTTCTAAGTACAGTAAGGGATATTTCTAGTACCCGATCTTCAGATCTGCTCATTTACAGCCAGCTAGGTCGATGGTATAAACTGCATAAAACAGAGAGCCAGATCCCCTAGGTCTGTCTGAGCTGTGCTTGGCCTAGGACCTGGGATTGGGAATGAAGGTGGGCCATACTTCTTCTATTGGTAAGGATTTATGTTCTCTCTTACACTAGGTAGCTTGTAACCCCACAGGTGTGGCTCTGAAGCATGCACGGGCCATTTAAAGACAAGTGGACTTCCAGTCACTCTGACCCCTGGTCAAAAAGGTTACCAGACAGGGAGCAGTGCAGCTGGGATTGTAGTGGGATGACTTTTTACCAGTATAGTTATTTCTCTGTCAGACTACATCCACATTGCTATTGTGTTGATATAACTACACTGGTAGGGAATTTGCACTGCTCCAGAATGGGGAATAGCAATTTTGCAATAACTGAGGTTATTTCAATAGGAGACAGACATGAGTATGGATGTGTGCCTGGCTCTGCTAAAAATAGATGAATTCTACTGGCTAACTTTTGTTAGACCAGGTCTAAGCCACCTTTCCATTCTCCTGATCTGGGGTCAAACTTGCCCGCAATCTGATTTACGGACATTCTAAGTTATGTTGGCTAGAGTAGCCCTTAGGGCCTACTCTGCTGGTTGGGGATTGCCAGAGAGCAGTGCACTGTGATTCTGTCCCATCATGCCCCTGCCCACACCACTGGCCATGCCATCTACATCTGGAGGAGGTGGCATAGACCTAAATATGTTGCTTTATGGCACCCGGGAATTCCCCTTTGTTAGGGGAATCCCTGGCATCTGTGTTGAGGCAGTTCTCTGTCCTCTTTATGCCACTGGAGTAGTGCAAAGGGAACAGAGCCAGGGACCAGCATCTGGCCTGGAATGTTTGTATAACTTCCTTCAGATGCTAGCACCATACAATGTTGAGGTTGTTGTCCCTCATGAATTTGCCTGGAAACAAGATTACATCATCTCGGAGCATTTTTTTCCTGTTGAAATATACTTCAACTTTTTAAAAGTGATATTTTTGCTTGATAAAACAGCTACTTACCACACAGCAACTGCCACTATCTTCATGACAGATTCATTTAAACACTGGCAAAAACTGACCAAGGGAACTCCACTGTTACCCATTCTGCCCAACATTATACCTGCAATCAAACACATTATTGTTTTAATTCTCATTTACTCTTAAAAATCCCCAACACACTCCTTTTCTACTGCAACTCAAAGTGAACTAAGTGTGGGGTGGCTAGCTGGGTTAGATAATTGGTGGTGGGATAATCCAACAAATCTCTGTGTTGTAGAAACACAGAGATCTAAATCACACAAGCACACATAGGGCATGGGGGGGCAGCCCTGGGTTCTTCAGCTCCACAAACACAAACATCTACCACTTAAGCTAACGGAGATCTCTTTTGAGTTCGCACTAGGAAATCCCTCACCTTCTATGCACCAGTCACTAGAGGGCAACAACACTGACATTATATATAGAGAGACGGAGAGAGAGAGTATTTTAGGGTAGGATTGATAAAAGGAGCCTTTTTCTTTTGGCTCACCAGTTTAAATCTAGCCCCGACTGGCAATGACCAAAAGCCATCGTCTGACATCTGTGAAATTAATTTGGTCTCAGTCCAGTTTCTAGTGGATAAGCATCTAGAAGATAAAAGCCACCCTCACAACTGGTCCTTTTTGCCACCATGGCTTAGCAGAATCAAGCAAATGCACATGAATACAAGGGCCAAACTACTGCACAAGACTAATCAGCAAAGAAAACAAACACATTCATAGCAACCAACAGTCATAAAGATAGGGGATCTAGTTCCAAGAATAGTTATGTAACTCTATACTTTCTGTATGGTGTTAAGTTTTAATAATGTATACCTAATAATAAACATATCTGTTATGTTCCTATTTAACTAATTTGCTGCAGTGATCCCCGTGAGGATTGTAACGGATCATGTTAATCACTCAAAGAAGCATTTCAGAAATCCATTTATGTTTGAAGAGGATTTTACAAGAAAACGAAGTTGTGAGGGGGGTGCATTCTAACACTTATTCTGGATGGACAGAATGTTTGCTTTGACTGAGGGCCCATGGTCTGTCATTTGGAGCGCACATCTGCATTTGCAGGCCAGGTCCCAGATTGTAATGGTTCCAAGACAATCCCCTCCTGATACAGGGGAGTGAGCCACTTAGATGTCAAACCCAACAATTTCACAATAACAATGCATGCAGGATGTGGGTTTATACGCCTGTTAATTTTCATCTAGCTGTAAATTTTCGGACACAAAACCACATTATATTTTATTAACAATGTTGCTCATTTATGCTAACAGAATGTTAATTACAAAGTTCAGTTTTTTAAGCTAGACTGGCTTTATTAAGCCATGGCAGCTTTACAAGAGTCTTAGCTTTCTAACTTAGTAGAATGATGAAGAGGGGAAATGGATCACCTCTTATTTTACAGGAATAACTGTGGTTTGCTTACAAGAAAACTCTTTGATGTCTGAGTATGGCAAGTGTTGGCAACAGGAGATGTAGCGGGTAAGACTGGAGGCTGCTGAATGAGGAGTATGAGACTCACTGGTCTCTTAAAGCAGTGGTTCTCAACCAGGGGGTATGTGTACCCGTGGGGTACACAGAGTTCTTCCGGGGGGACATCAACTCATCTAGATATTTGCCTAGTTTTACAACAGGCTACATAAAAAGCACCAGCAAAGTCAGTACAAACAAATATGTCATGCAATGACTTGTTTATACTCCTCTATATACTATACATGGAAAAGCAAGTACAATATTTATATTCCAATTGATTTATTTTATAATTATATGGTAAAAATGAGAACATAAGCAATTTTTCAGTACTAGTGTACTTTGGCACTTTTGTATTTTTCGGTCTGATTTTGTAAGCAAGTAGTTTTTAAGTGAGGTGAAACTTGGGTTACGCAAGACAAATCAGACTCCTGAAAGGGGTACAGTAGTCTGGAAAGGTTGAGAGCCACTGTCTTAAAGGACCTCACTATTCAACCAAATACACGAAGGGATGGTTTCAAGAAATGTTCAACAGTCAAACCTCACCAGTTTACTGTACTGTCATTTGCACAAGCCCCTTTCTGCAGTCGTTATGTAAGAAGCCCAAATAGTCATTTCCAAGCAAAGTTTTTACTCTCTGTGATTTATAAGATGATTTCCAATTCTTCAAAGTTTGTGCTAGACTCTCACCTCTTATCCGTCTCACACACCCCAACAAGGCCACACTTACCCACTGCCTAGGTGAGGCCCTGAATCAGTGCATTTTTAAGTGCCTTTTTCATACCCCTTCTCTGGCCACCATTGCCCATTTTGGGGCAGAGTTGGCCAGAACCAGACACAACCTTGAAATTGAGAAGAGTCCTGCATGTGGCTTTCTTCCTGAGCTAAGATTGCTAAGCCACCCGCCTCCTGCTTCCAGAAAAAGGAAAAGCAGGTTTCTGTTACTAAGAGAGGATGGGCTGGATTCTCAGTTATGCTAAAGCCTCTTTTTATGCCACTCTGGCAGTGTAAGGGGGCCATAAAACGGGTGTGACTATAATTTATGCCCACGTTAAAGCCCCTTTACTTTGCTAGAATGGTATAAATGAGAATCAGGCCCAATGACTGAGCAGAACTGCTATGAAGCACCCAGTGCCAAATGAATTACTTTGATGTATATTATGATATTTCCATACACAACATATTTGGAATGATGTTTTCCCTTTCCTCCAAGCCCCACCCACATACCCTCCATTTGATCCCTGCCCTTCACTTTTCCTTAGGATGGGAAGAAGGTGATGTAGAGCTCATGACAAAGGTCAAGAAATACCCTGTTAAGTGGGTTGCCCTATGGGCAATTTGTCCGGCTCCTAGAAGCAAAACAGATAGGTGGTCTTAAGTAGCAGAATCTTGTGTTTCCACAGCCACCAAACTAACACAATCTAAAAACGAACCTTTAATGCACATATATAATTCTTCTCCTGTCCTTCCATCACAGTCATATGTTTTTCAAGTGATAGGCACATAATATGGCCTGGCCGGAAGCTCTGGCAAGATCTTTTATAATGCATGGTTCCTCCAGGCGCTGGCAGACCAACAGCTGTTCCATGGTTTGTGTTTCACTGCAGTCACGTGTCTGGGTCATTGGAATAACCCCACTGCCACATATTGACTGTTGACCTGCCAGCTCTTGTTCAGAGGCAATTTAAACTTGTCAGGTCAACCTATCCTTCTCTACACTTGCGCAAATGTGTTCAGCAACATTGACGTGCATTTTAATCTCCTCGCTGAGTATTTTGAATGGTGTGCGCTACATTTCCAGCCATATAGCCGTTGGTGAATTTTTAAGCAGTTCTGTTGCATCTAGGAAGCTTTCCCACAATTTCAGGTGGCTAACTGCCATGGTGTGACTGTGTAAAAGATGTCTGGTATTTTCCACCTGTTGTAATCATTCCAGTTTGCTTGTGACCGCTCTCCTGATATCTGGTGGAGCAATTCCAATAAGCACATAATGGCTGTTCACGCTTGTTGGTTTTAGACATCCTGTGATGTAGCAGCAGCTGTCAATAAGCACAGGGTCCAGCTTCTTGGCATGAGCTGATCTTTCCCACACCTGACATGCATATTTGGCTGTAGAATAGCAAAATGCAAGTGCGGTGGCTCTTAGTACTGCTGGGCTGGTTCGCCCTTTTGAATTTGCAAGCTTCCTGAGTATGTTGTTCTGGGTGCTAACTTTGCCTTTTTTCTTCTCCATGTGCGCCTTGAAGGAGAGAGTGAGGTCTAGTGTCACCCCAAGGTAGATAGGATTCCAGCAGTGGACAAGTGATACCCCATTCCAGATGATGTTACATTGTTTATCAGCCTCATGATTCCAAAGTTGGAAGAGACGCTCTTGCATTTTGGCTGGGTTAGCATAGAATTGGTTCTTGGGGTAACAGACTGAGAGCCCAGACAGTGCCAATGTTAGCGTAGTTTCTATTTGGGCTAAACCCTTGGCTTGGGCAGTGATGCATGGGTTGATAGAATAGATAAAACTTGTGCTGAGATGGATTGGTTGATCATTCGTGTAGATGCTGAAATGTATTGGTGAGAGTACACTCCCTTTTGGTAGGCCATTTTTCTGTTGCCGCCATTTTTTCTCCTTCCCGCACAGTACAATGTAAAACGTCAGTGCTCTGGTAGAGGCTGTATCAGTGGTATGAGGCGGTGATCTTTCATCATGTTGTATACTTTGATGAGGCGCCTTCAGTGATTCACTGTGTCATAGTAGGGGGAGGGATAGCTCTGTGGTTTGAGGATTGGCCTGCTAAACCCAGGGTTGTGAGTTCAATCCTTGAGGGGGCCATTTAAGGATCTGGGGCAAAATCAGTACTTGGTCTTGCTAGTGAAGGCAGGGGGCTGGACTCGATGACCTTTCAAGGTCCCTTCCAGTTCCAGGAGATGGGCTATCTCCATTAATTATTATTATATGCTGCTGATAGGTCAACAAACACTGTGCCGGTTACCATACCCTTTTCAAAGCCATCTTTGATGTACTGAATGATATTCAACACTTGACCAGTGCATGACTTGCCTGGCGGAATCCAGCTTGCTCGTGCTTTTCAATGAATGGTGATAGGTGGTTTAGGATGAGACGCTCATGCAGTTTGTAGAAATGACATAGTTGTGATATAGGCCTGAAGTTCTTCAGCTCCATTGCGTCCTTCCCCGGCTTCAGGAGTGTCACAACATGTGCTCGTCTCCAGATTCTTAAGTATAAAATTACAACCATGAAATAAATGGGTATACATGGCCGAGTTCCCTCTGGTGCTGTTACTATGCCAGGAGAATTTGACATAACCACCAACCATCCTCTACCTTGGTTCAATTGATCAACTGGCATATGGCACGATGTAAGTGTGTATATCTAAAAACTGTTGATAGCTAACATGGGTTATAGGTTAGCCCAGTGGTCTAGTGGCTGTGCAGCTCCTGACCTCTTGATCCCTGAGTCAGCAGAAGTTGGAAGCACTGCTGAGGTAGCATACTCAGCTCTGGGGAGTAGAGGAATGGTTTGCATGGCTCAATGGCATATGCAACCCCTTTAATCTAATGAACACTAGAAGCGAAGAGACTCCTGTCTAGTAATTCTTGGCTGGACAGTTGGTGGCAGTGACATGGCGCTTTGAGGGCTGAGTATTAAATCGTTGAAAATTAGGGGATCTCAAGTTTCCAACAAGGATGCAGGTGGAACTACACATCTTGTGGAAACAAAAGGGAGAGAAAAATGTGCTACTGACAGACTGGAATTTTGACCCATTTTGCTAATGCAAACCATGCAGAAAATAAGAAAAATCAAAGGTACTTTTGGAACCACATCTGCTGCACAGATTCCCTTCCAAGCACAGCTTCATAAACACAGATAAAGGGATTCTTTTTATCAGCATCTCTATGTGAAAATCATCACTTTACAATTATCAGAAGGACGATGAGCACGTCTAAAGGAGGGATAAAATTCCCTTCCCTCTCACTCAAATTGTAGTCCAGTTAGAAACTATTTCAATAAATAAATAAATAAATAAATAGATAGATAGATAAACCTACTGCAGTTAGATAACATAAAGAGTTCTACTGAGTTCTTCGGGCCGGTAAAACTGAATATTCTAAATGGATAAGAGCTCTCAAAGTCCATTACGATAAGCCTCCTAGATAATACATAACTACTAACATTGAACTATGGTACAAATAAAACTGTACCAGGGGACATTCAATGAAAGCCAAAAACTGCAAATTTAAAACTAATAAAAGGAAATATTTTTTCAGACAATGCATAATTATCCTGTGGAACTCAATGCCTCAAGATATCACTGAGGCAAGCATTTAACAGAATTTTAAAAATTGGACATTTTTATTGATAACAAATACATCCAGATTTATTTTACTAACGATAAAACCAATAGTCTGGGAAGGGATATAAACCCTCATGTTTCAAGGCATAAGTCAACCTCTAACTAAAGGGAGTTAAGAAGAAACTTTCCCTGTGCACAATTATCCTGTTACTGCCTATTGAAAGGTTTCTTCACCTTCCTCTGAAGCTTCTGGTTCCAGCCATGGTTAGAGACAGGATAGTGGATTAGAAATACCTCTGCCCCCTTCTGGACAGAATCAGAACTGCTCAGCTGTGTGTCAGCCCCTATACTGCTAATCTTCCTTTGTCTCAAGTGGTAGATGCATGTGCTTTTAAAATAGGTGGGGTCTGAGTTCTATCCGTGAAGTTCTGAACAGCCGTAGTATGCAGCACTGGGACAAATGTCAATTCATTCTGGTAGGTGGTGGCACTCCAAGGCAACAGAAGGAGTCCCCTTGTTATCCTCCCTCTGTTCTTAGTCCAAGCACTAAATGCCTTGTCTGTCTGTCTGTCTTACTCAGGAGGGAGTGACTCATGCCGAGCACTACTAGCTCTCGTAGGTACAGACCTATCAGAGCTGGGGTAAGGTTCACTATGGTACACTGCTTAACAGTATGTAGCTCTAACCACAGGGCTACTTAGCCCAAAGTACAAATGTTAGACGTGAAAACTATACAGTAGACATTTCTGTTGTTCCTCACTGCCCTCTATATGCAAAAGGCACCTAAGTAAAGTTCAGTAGCTTACAAATGCAAGCACACAATAACCAAGCAAAGGCTTAGTGAAATTAAAAGGAAAGGGGGTAGGGAAAGCAGCATGCATAGAAACAATCAGGAGCATGAAAAGAAAATGTCATCAAGGATTATGAACAAGATTCATCCCTAAAGGATTGGAGTACATTACTAGGACATGCTTTTTCTGACTTGACGTTTAGAGACGGGTAGGTGGGAAATAAGTATAATCAGGAATACTAAACAAGAACTCTCCTCCCACCCCTGATTCTCCGAAATAAAAACCCAACCCCCAAAACAACAATACACAGATCAATTCAAACATGACCTGCTCCAACCTGTTTAAAACATACCCATGGTGGCAGAGAATATCACAATCCCCAGCACGTTCATGCCATCACTGGTGCCTGGCTCAGATTTGTAAATCACTTCTGGAGGGGGAGTAATATCCAGGGCAAAATTCTGGACATTGGATCCATTCTCATCCTGGACCCCATATATTATGATCCGACGAGTGGTGCTTTCCGCAGCTGCCTTGTTGGATTTGATTATAGGAATGCTCTTGGTGCGATACTGAAAGAACACAGAATATTATGGTGGGTCATCAGGGACTAAAGGGTTAATGAGTCCTCAGATTGCTTTAATGGGCTCCAAAGTGTCTTGTGAAAGGAGAATGTCTATTAAAGAAGGAAGGGGCATGTGTGGAAGAAACCGCTTCCCCTCCTCCCAAGCTACTGGAAAAACAACTCTGATCCTTTTTTTCTAGTAAAAAAAAAAAAAAAAAAAAAATCTGGAACTCCCCCAAACAGAACTTTAGGCAGGAGACATTCTGGACCCTGCTAGGGCTACATTTGGCATTCCTCTATATTCACTCTTCTCATCTGTAACTAGGAATAACTCCCTCAAATGCTAATCAGTGGCTTTTCCTTTGTCCCACCAAAGGTAAGGATTCCATGCAATATATCCCATTTGAAAGGGCATTAAGCCCAACCATTCCTCTTACTTAACCTGCTCAAAGCTTTTAAATAAGGTGTCCTGCCCAAACTCCAGTTTGGGTAATTAGGTTCTGCCTAAATAAATTCCCACATTGCTTTAACTGGATTCAGCATCCTTCTTCACTTCCTTTTGTGTAATGTTGCTGTGTGTTCTTAAATACCTTCCACCTGTCAGATGACTGCATTTCAGTGGTGAGAAAATTGATTCTATTGCCATATGATTTACTTATGTAAAGTTCTCTGCCCTTCCCTAATGCCATTCAATGAGGGCCAGAATCAGCAACAACAGTGTTCAGTTTCAGAAGTCATGTTTGCTGCCCTCTCAAAGAGCTCCTAGAAAATGGCACAGGTCTTCTGATTGATATGTTTGTGGCTTAAGAGCCAATGTTAAATTAGTATCTTAGCAAATGTCTGTTGTCTGGTAGCACAGAGCTGCCATCACGGCACCTACACCACTTCCCTTCCGGGTCCCTGGTGTGTTCAAGAAAAGGGGGCATAGCTGGGGGGTCCCTATGCGCTGATGATTCCTGATGAGGGCCTTGTCATCCCTTGGTTCTGGGAGGTGTAAAGGTGACTTAGAGGTGCCTGTGCACCCCACTTCCTGAGGTACAGTGAGCACTCCTCAGCCAGAACTTGGGGTCTGGGCCAATGCCTCTAATTAAGGAGCAAATAAGGAATTATCTTGTGTATTCTCACACTCTCTCTCCCTGCCTTCCATATTCTTACATCCAATTTATTGGGCAGAGTTCAAATCATTTTCACAGGGGACTAAGGATAATCAAAAATCCACGTTCCACAGAATTAGGAAATTGGGGTGAAATCAAGCAAAGTGGGTGGAAAGGGCTAAAACCAACTATTTAAAACTCTTCCTCACCAAAATGACTAAATATCAAAACAGGAAGAGCAGTTCTGATTTATAGGATGGTATAACACTACTTTCTGAATTAAAGACACAACTCACGAACATAGGCACTTTAAAAAATGTTACCGTAAATCACATAGGAGCCTAAATCATGGACTTCGCCAAGGCACTTGTGACTGCTCCAAGCTCCATTATTGTGATTTACATACATTGATATTTCAGTCTAGGCCTGTCCATAGATCATAGGCAGCGCTTGTTGGATATTAGTTATTTAAGGCCTGAACCTGAGAAGTGCAGGGCTCTTGCAACAGCTATTGAAGGTACAGCATCTCTCAGGATCAAGCGCTGTCTGATTTATATTGTGCCCATCAACATACTGTATGGAAGTATTTAAAAAAATTAAAAACATGAAGGAATCATTGCCAAATAACTGGCAACAAAACAAACCCATGCCTGACTCCCACTCCAATTCCCATTCACTGGCAAAATAGGTAACTATTCCAGCTTCTTTCTCCTCTGACCTAAAAACAAGTGATTATTAAAATAGCTGAATGATTCTGATTACACTCCTGTATAGCAAAGTGATTACTAATTATGGGCCTAACACAAAGCCACTGAAGTCAGTGGAAAAACTCTCATTGACTTCAAAGGGATTGGCATCAGATGCCACTGTAAGTACTGAGCCTATATGAACCAATATACAGTACCAAATCTCAAATTTTGCTTAAAAATTGTCACTGCATGAATTACCTGAAGATGGCTTCTCTGTAGCATCAGTGCAGACACTCACCTGTTTGAATGTGGCCTCAACAAGGTTGGCTGGGAACATGTTCCTGGAAAGAAATAGATAAAAGAATCATTGTCAAGGGGCTATTTAGTTACCCTTATGGGTCCTCAGTGTCCCCCTTGTGTAATCACCTGTGCAAAGTGAGTGCCCAGAGGGTAGAAAAAACGCTCTGATCTCATAGCATTTCCTACTCGCTCTGCATGGGTGTAAATGGCTACAAAAGGCATAACAGTGGAGAACCAAGTGCACCAAGTTTAAAGTAGAGATTTAAGGACGCAATTCTGAACACTTGGTGTGGGATTCAGGAGATCTGGATTCAGTTCTTGACTCCGCCACAGACTTCTTGTATTACCTGCGGCAATTCACTCAGACTCTTTCTGGTTCCGTTCCCCATCTGCTAGATGGGAATAATCATAGAATCATAGAAGGGACCTTGAGAGGTCATCTAGTCCAGTCCCCTGCACTCATGGCAGGACTGAGTATTATCTAGACCATCCCTGACAGGTGTTTGTCTAACCTGCTCTTAAAAACCTCCAATGATGGAAATTCCACAACCTCCTTAGGCAATTTATTCCAGTGCTTAACCACCCTGACAATTAGGAAGCTTTTTCTAATGTCCAACCTAAACTGTCCTCGCTGCAATTTAAGCCCATTGCTTCTTGTCCTATCCTCAGAGGTTAAGGAGATCAATTTTTCTCCCTCCTCCTTGTAACAATCTTTTATGTACTTGAATTATCATGTCCCTTCTCAGTCTTCTCTTCTCCAGACTAAAGAAACCCAATTTTTTCACTCTTCCCTCATAGGTCGTTTTCTAGACCTTTAATCATTTTTCTGGCTCTTCTCTGGATTGTCTGCAATTTGTCCCCATCTTTCCTGAAATGTGGCACCCAGAACTGGACACAATACTTCAGTTCAGACCTAATCAACATGGAGTAGAATGGAAGAATTACTTCTTGTTTACAACACTCCTGCTAATACATCCCAGAATGATGTTTACTTTTTTTTGCAACCGTGTTACACTGTTGACTTATATTTAATAAGGAAATATTATTATTATATTTCTCCCACTCCTGTTATGTCTTTTTAGATTGTAAGATTTTCAGGACAGCACCCAGCACAATGGGGCCCTCAATCTACTTCTGGGCTTCGAGGCACTACTATAATACATATAATAATGATTAATAATAGTTAATAATAATAATACTTTCTGCCACGCTTCTGTCAATCCCATTATAATTATAAGTGGGGAAGGCTCTGAAGTCTGTTCCCTTTACCAAGAACAGACTGTTTTTCAAAAGGAGGATCTGATTCCTGATTAAAAGACTCTAGACCAGAGCTGCACAATTTCTTTAAAATGGTCACTATTTTAATGTTTATGAGGCTTTTCTGGGGCAGAAAATCAGTGTCTTTTGGAAAAATGCTAATCGGGCATTTCACCCTCCACCACTGCTGAGAGAGCGTGAGCAAAACAGAGACCTCACGCTTATGGCCTCAGAATGAGATTCATAGATTTTTAAGGCTCGAAGGGACCATTATTATTATTGCTCTGACTTCCCAGGTAATGCGGGTCATAGACTCTTACTCACTAATTTCTGCACTGAGTCTATATCCTCTGTTTGAGCTAGACAATATCTTTTAGAAAGACTTCTAGTTTTAAGGAAAGAGGAAAAGAATGCCCGCTCCAGGCTCCAGTGAGAATTCTGTTGCTGGGCAAAAGGACCACAAAATCAAGAACTTTTTATAATACTGGGGAACAAAAAAATTCCCAGGAATTTTAAAATGTGGCAAGATTATTTTTTAAATGGATTTCTTTTCATCCTGAAATTTATAAGCCTAAAGTGAGCAATACTCTAGCATAATCTTATGCATTCATGTTCAGTTTGTATGAAAATATGTGGCTGTAATGTTCACTAAACAAAGGACTTCTCTATGGAAAGTCAACTCAGGCCCCAAGTCAGGACAGCACTTAAGCACATGTGTACTGTCCATCCTTACTCAGGAGAGTACTCATGCATGTGCATATTTAACTGCTGTCCTGAATAGGGGTGTTTTCCTGAATTGAGGGCCCTGTGCAATGAGGTATGCCTGCTATTTGGTCGGGTTGCAATAAGAACATTCTGTGTCGCATTAGTGTAGGAAAAACAGCTTCCAGGCTTCAGACTCTCACCGTTTTACAGATGAGGGACACTTTAATTTCAGTTTGAGTGCTTTATATTGGTTTAACTTAAGTCAATTCCTTATTGACTCAGTCACTGTTTATAACAGACAGTAGTCTATTGTAAGCAATGCCTGTGATTGTAAACACTGTGCTGTCTGTCTTCTGTGAGTTTTCACCTCCAGTGATGGTAACACAAAAGCCTAAATACTGAGATTTAGCATTTAGTTCTCTAGTCACATCTAACCCCCATAAATACTTGTGAGTCTCTGTGGTCAAATATCCAGTATGGGCCCCAAACTGTGCAATATACAGACAACACCCAGCTGTACGTCACCTTTACATCAGTTTGTGACAGCTCCTTATCCCAGCTCTCCAAGGGCCTGGCTGAGATCAGAAATTACTTTGAAGAGTAGCTGCTGGAAGCTGGATCTGGGAAAGACTGGTGTGGGGGTAGTGGGGAGAGGGAAGCACTTAAAAGAACTCACCACCACCATATAAATCCCTTCCCTCCCCCCAGTGAAGGATTCTGCCCTAAGATTGTTAAGGACACCCTATCTTAATTAATGTTTGTTTTGCAATTTGAGATGATCTGATAAAAGGTGCTGTATAAGTGCAAAGTAGTCTCACTGTGATTAAATTATAACGTGCTGTGTGATGGAGAATTAATCTGCAAGGATAGATTCTCATTGAGGGTTTTTATCCTTCTTTGAATATGAACCAAACACACAGGCTGTAGCTTTCAGACAGTAATGTGAATTGAATTGATAGTGCTTTCTGTCTCCTGCCCAATACTGCAGCCCTAATTAATAGTATTAAAATCAAATTGAGACTGCTGGAGAAAGGAAATATCATGTTTAGTAGCTAGATTAAATGTTAGCCAAATTCATGGAGGATTAAAGCATTTTATTTTTTAATAATTCTTTATCCTGCAGGAATTACAACTGGTCCTCATAATACTGTAGTCTGGAATTCTTCCAATATCCGTTCTGAGCATTCTTTGAGACCGGCCTTGCTAAAGCCACCCAAATGATCTAGTGCAAGGTAGTTGACCTGAATGTGTTTGCCAAAGCTTTGGCTTTTTTTTTTTTTTAAGCTGCTTTACTTGGCTTGGGAAAATCCACTATTAGCCAAAAGTTCAGCTTTCTTAATTAAAAAAAATCAAAAGTACAACTCACAAAAGGTACATCTCCTGGACTAATACGGAATAATGCTAAGGAGTATATCACCATGACGTATGGTCAGGGAAGATGAATGGGAGTTTGTTGGCTGGATCAGATCTCCGGAGAAACTCCAGACAAACTCCTGCTTTAGGGACACATTCTATTACTGTACATTGAGATTTCTCAAATGGGGGCAGGAAACTCTGCAAGTTTCTGCTTCTTAGGTCTCCTTGGAATCTTTTAATTGGGGAAGTAGGGTTTGAATTTTTTTTTACCATGGAACTTCCAGAGGCTTCAATCGTCTACATCTGTGAGTGTCCCAAGAACTGCCTGTGATATCTGCAGAGGGCATGAGCATCCCTTGCCACATGGCTTCCTCAGAGGGCAGGCTGCCTGCCACTCCTGGCTGAACCGAAATTCCCCTTTAAGGAAAGTTTACTGCTGCAGAGGGTTTAGTATAGCTCAGAGCCCCAGCTCTTTTATTTAACTCAACATATTACAAAATTTAAACTTATACGATATCCCAACCTCTCAGTCTCCCAATGTGCACTTTGCCTGTCTTTATGGTTCCAATACTGCAGTCTGATCCAAGGAGTCTTGCACCCCCGCAAAGACTCATTGACTTCAATGATAACTCTGCACAGGCATAACAATCTGCCATGTGGATCTTAATGTAGGATTGGGGCATCAGACTGTAGCCTCCTCAAGGCAGGGACTGTGTCTTTCAATATTCCATGCAGAATCAAACACCTTGTCAGTGCTTACCAAGTAACAATTAATCACTCTGAGCGACTCATTGCCGTCTCCGACCAGAAATGGTGCCAAGTTTATTAAATAAATAGAACTAGATGCTTAAATTATTTCTTAAGTTTCCAGCATAACTCTTGGCCTTCATGGCCCACAGGTGGGCATAAAAATAATAATACCAGAACCTTAAAGTGATGTGGGATTAAGTTTTTTTTATAAGTAACCTTATCTATAAACTCAGTGGTATGATTCTTGATGGAAATAATTTACATAATTTTTCTAGGTGTGTCATGTTTGGTACCATTGTATTTGTGGGAGAAAGGGCTTTTGAATGACACCCAATTCGACCCATTTCCAATGACACTATATTATCAAAATTTCCACCAATGGAGGACGTGCAGGTGGCAGCTGATGGGGGCAGCGAGTCCCCCCTGCTATCCCACAGAGAGTGACACCAATGAAATTCTGTAGATTTTTACAAATCAAATGGCACCTCCCTTACCTATCATTAACTTGCCCATGGAATGAGATTTTACGACATTGCGCTCCCAGACTGAATGGGCCAAATTCTGCTCTCTGTTCCACTGGTGAACATTTGAAATAACTCCACTGACTTCTGACTATACTGTAATTTCCTCAGAATGGGCCAAATCCTGTGCTCTGTTGTATCACTGTAAATCCAAATAACTCCACTGGTGTCAGTGGATTTAGTCTAGATTTATATTAATGAAAGTGAGGGTAGAATTTGGCCTACCATGATAAAATAAATCAGTCATTTCAGTGCCCATGGGAGGATGATAGTTGCGCATCAGTGATCATCTCTATTATCTAATCCTATTAGATAATATCACCCTCCCCCACACTCACACCTTCAGCAAAAAGGACCACAGGCTTTTCGGAATTTATGAGGTATTAAAATCCTCATTACTGTGATAAAAGACACTAATAGAATATAAAAATCACTAATCGGGGCTCAGCCTA